GCTCACTGCAGCCTCTGCCTCCCAGGTTCAAGCGATTCTCTTGCTTCAGCCTCCTGAGTTGCTGGGACTACAAGCATGCACTATCATGCCTGGCTAATTTTTGTATGCCAGAGTCTGCTTAATCCATGGAAAGTGCTGGTTCTCATCCATGGCTGCACATCAGAACCACTTGGGGGATTAAAAAATTCTGATGCCTAGGCTGCACACCCAGAGAGTTTGACCTGCCGGATTTGGAAAGACGCCTGGACGTTAGAATGAATGAATAAATTCTGTATGAATGAACGAATAAATGTACAAATGAATGAACTGTGCCAGGCCCTGCGCTGAGTGCTTTATATCAGTGATTCTCAAACTGCTGCACATTAGAATCACATGGGAGCTTTTATTTTACTTATCTATTCATTCAAAAAAAATATTTTTTGAGACAGGGTTTTGCTTTTTGTCCAGGTTGGAATGCTGTGGTGTGATCACAGCTTACTGCAACCTCGAATTCCTGGGCTCAAGTGATACTCCCGATTCAGCCTCCAGGGTAGCTGAGATTACGGGCACGAGACATCACACCTGTTTAATTTTTTTTTTTTTTTTTGAGATAAGTCTCACTCTGTTGCCCAGGCTGAAGTGCAGTGGCATGATCTTGGCTCACTGCAACCTCCACCTTCCGAGTTCAAGTGATTCTCCTGCCTCACTGCTGCCTCCTGAGTAGCTGTGATTGCAGGCATGAGCCACCACACCTGGCTAATTTTTGTATTTTTAGTACAGATGGGGTTTCACCATGTTGGCCAGGCTGGTCTCGAACTCCTGACCTCAAGTAATCAAGCCACTTCAGCCTCCCAAAGTGCTTGGATTACAGGTGTGAGTTACTGCACCCGGCCTCATAACTGTTTAATTTTTAAAAATTTCTTTTTTTAGAGAAAGGGTCTTGCTTATGTTGCCCAGGCTAGTCTTGAAGTCCTGGGCTCAATCTTCCTGCCTCAGTCTTCCGAAGTGCTGGGATTATAGGCGTGAGCCAAGACACCCGGCCACCTGGGAGCTTTCAAATATCCACATGTTGCCAGGTACAGTGACTGGCAATGTTTCAATGTAGATTTAACCATTTTAAATGTGCATTTAAAATGGGGATATAAACATTTTTAAAAATCCACAACTTTTAAATGTGGACACCTACTTTTTAAAAATTATAATAGGGTACGAGCCAGATACAACACATCTTTGGGCTGAATTTGGCCTGGCGAGTTCACTGACAACAGCCACACCCTCCCTTTGTCATGGTGGCTTAAGATCCCTCAGAGAAGTACCCAATCCCAACCCAAGGTGGAAACCAGTGTTCACCCTCCAGAGAGTGCACTGGCCACATGACCTCACCACCTGATAAATACGTTTGTTCCGACCAGCTCTGGGAAAGAGACAGCTGGTCTTCTCCTTGCCTTTTATGGTGATATAGTTTGGTCTGCACCTAACATCCTGCATGAGGCACGCAGGGCCGGGAAGTCAGGAGGCAGGGAGACAGGAGAGAGGGCGTGGGATGCAGAAAGAAGAGGTGGGTGGGAAAGGCATGCTATAATCCATCGGATGAGAGTCCTCGCAGCCTGCTGTTAGCTGTTGCTGTTAAAATTGTTTCTTAGTAGAAGTGGGGTTTCACCATGTTGCCCAGGCTGGTCTTGAACTCCTGGACTCAAGTAATCTGCCCACCTTGGCCTCCCAAAGTGCTGGGATTACAGGTGGGAGCCATCGCACCTGGCTTTTTTNAAAAAAAAAAAAAAAAAAAACGCTTCAGGCTGGATCTGGCCCACTAGTCCTGTCCCAGAACACATTGGAGGAATATAATGCATTCTGAGTTTTCTCATTTTTCTTTTCTTTTTTCTGAGACAGAGTCTGACTGTCACCCAGGCTGGAGTGCAGTGGCCCGATCTCGGCTCACTGCAGTCTTCACCTCCTGGGTTCAAGCTATTCTCCTGCCTCAGCCTCCTGAGTAGCTGGGACTACAGTTGCCTGCCACCATGCCCGGATAATTTTTGTATTTTTAGTAGAGACAGGGTTTCACCATGTTGGTCAGGCTAGTCTCAAACTCCTGACCTCAGGTGATCCACCTGCCTCGGCCTCCCAAAGTGCTGGGATTACAGGTGGGAGCCATCGCACCCAGGTTTTTTTTTTTTTTTTTTTTTTTTTAATAATTGTTTGTGGTTGGTTTTTTTCTTTTGTTTTTCTAACAGAACTAAAGCTCTGTTAAGAGAGTTGGCACTCTCTTTTTTTCAGAGGGCCTGAAATCATGTGAAATATCTTTCCAGGTTAAGCCTGGAAGGTGTCCACATTGTGATGAACAGCCTCACTCTCTGTTTCTCACTGCAAGCACTTCTCACAAGAGAAATGATCTGAACTGCTCTCGGGTAATGAACACAATGGGAGTAGCTGGGAAGGCAGTAATTAGGGAAGTCCCGTTGCTAGAGACATAGAGACAAAGGACGAGTATCTCAACTAGCTCCCCCAGCCTCGCTCTGTAGTTTCCGAACTAATTTCTTAATGTGGATAAATGGGATGCTGCTATTCTCTGACCAAAGGCCAGCGGCAGGTTTAAGGCTTCTTTCTCCGGCTTGCAGGCTAGTCTTTGCCCGGGGTCGATTAACTGAGGGAGGTTGCAGGTCTGTGCTCACTTCCATCCCTGCTCCTCTACCTCAGGGTCTCCGGAAGGATGTTGTGGGAAGACAGGTACTTGCTTCTGCCTCCAAAGAAAGATTTCTTACCAGAGGGAGTGGGAAAATCCACCCTGGCTTTGCCCCTAGACTGCCCACTTGGGCGACACTCAGATCTTTTCAGCAGCATCAAATTTCCTAAGGCTTCCTCCAGCCCTCATCCCAGGTGGGCTGATTGAAAGAAAAAGAAAACGTGGCCGGGCACGGTGGCTCAGGCCTATAATCCCCGCACTTTGGGAGGCCAAGGCAGGTGGATCACCTGAGGTCAGGAGTTCAAGACCAGCCACAGTCAACGCAGTGAAATCCCATCTCTACTAAAAATACAAAAAATTAGCCAGACCCACAGGCGGGCACCTGTAATCCCAGCTACTCGGGAGGCTGAGGCAGGAGAATCACTTGAGCCTGGGAGGCGGAGGTTGCAGCAAGCCGAGATCGTGCCATTGCATTCCAGCCCGGGGAACAAAAGCAAAGCTTCCTTTCAAAAACGAAAAAAAAAAAGGAAAAAAGAAAACCCGCAAACTGGCTGTTCTGGTTATAGCTGATGAAGGAGACAACAGGGGAAGGTAAAAATCATGTAACTCACAGGACGCAGGGTGCAGTTCAGCCCCAGCTTACCCGCTCAGATATGGCTGGGACAGCCCAGAAATGGAAGGAGAAAGTCCAGGTCTTCTTGTCATTTTTGAGCCCAGGGACCCAGCTGAGACAGACAAATATCATTCTTTGATCACAGGAATGATGATACTTTATAATCAAAAGTGTCAGTAGATACGTGTGGATGAATTTCTGAATTGCTCAGTGTTTCTGATGAGCCACACACTTTCTCTCCCCTGCACTCCTGCCCCATCTCCACTAAATAAGACTTAATTTTATATTCTCATAAGCCTGGGACTCAGTCAAAGGGCCCTGTAGTAATCTATGGCTCCTTGCTACCACTTCCCACTCGCTTTAGGTGCCATGATCTTGCAATCTTCCTTACTATGTCTCTGACTTTGCACTTATTCCCTGGCCTGGAAAATTGCTAGTCATTCTTCAAGAAGCAGCCTGAACACCACCTTTTCTGCAAAGGCTTTCCTGATACTGCTGGAAGGGTTAAGAGATTGGTTTCTAGGCCGGGCGCGGTGGCTCAAGCCTATAATCCCAGCACTTTGGGAGGCCGAGGCAGGTGGATCACGAGGTCAAGAGATCGAGACCATCCTGGTCA